TGACACAGTTCTTGCTAGGAGACAAGTCATTTGTGACATCATACCTGCTCAGGTTCCACCCCCTCCCCCCCTTCCCACCTCCCTAAGCTTCGAGCAGGGCCGAGGCTCCAGCACTCACCACAGACAGCATCTGTCACGTTAGTTCCTGCTTGTAGCTCCACCAGGTGTTTGTTCTCACAGCTACGCACAGACACAAGTGCACACACACACGTGAGCATGCACACACGAAGACAGAAATAACATTAGGTCTTCCCAACCCTAGCATTTTCCAACACCCAGAGGCAGGCGGCCAGTGCTCAGAAAGTCCAGGTTCACTGAGCAGGTACATGCAACGGCCTATGCTGGCTTTTACAGGAACGGCACTGACTCTGTTCTTATGGAACTCAAGTGCAAAGGACACGTGACGGCATGTCTTCAAGAGCTGATAAAGATGAGGGGGGACAAGGAGTGCCCAGCCCTGTGACACCTGCTAAAGTGCAGGGCATTGTGCAGAGTCAGGATCTACAGTGGCTGGAGTGGAGAACGGATGAGTGCGGTTTAAGGCAGTGTTTTCTCAACGTTGGCCCCAGGGACCTCTTGGCTGGATAATTCTGTGTTGTGAGCAAAGGGTGGGGGGCTGTCCTGAGCATGGCAGCACCCCTGGCCTGTACCCACTGGATGCCAGGAGCATCCCCCTCCGCAGTTGTGACCCGAAAGGTGTCCAGGTATGACCAGTGCCCCCAGTTGAGAAGCTCTGGTTTAAGGGTCATCAGCGGAGACTTCCCTGTGAAAGAAAGACCTGGGGGGACCCCGAAGGAGGTAGAACATAGAGCAGCAGTGCGTTGCAGCGACACAAACAGCACGATGAGAGGGGACTCAGGTGTCTGGCAAGCAGGATGGCGCTGGGGATAACCCGACATGAAGCATACGACGGAATGCAGCCGCTGAGTCTCATCAGCACCCAAGCAGATGACCTAACTAGCGACAGGAGCAGCTGGCCAGCGAGCTCGGAGGAGGGCAGACTGCAGAAGAGACGACACCCAGGAGGCACCACAGGAGATGAGGACACCGGGTCCCAGGTGGCCCTCAGAGGAGCAGGTAGGAGTGAACAGAGAAGGGTATTACAAAGGAAAGCCCATCCAAGGTGGGAGAATGGGAAAATCGTCAAGGAAAGCGTAAGATTTAGCTTTACATGAGAAGAACATTCCGGAGTTTACAAACTTTTTTCTGCACCAGAGGACAGCATTCCCATTTTCCAGACAAGGACACCACGGTTCAGAGGGGAGAGCCACACATTTACCGAGCTGCAGGCTGACTGGAGCCAGCCCACGCTTGCTAGCAAAGTCTGAACACCTGCTACGCAGCAGACTCTGTTCCAGGAACCAAGGATAGATGGGTGGAAGGAAAACAAATCGGGGAAAGGCAGACAATAAATGAAGTATATGTGATGTGCTCCTACTTGTGTGGGGAAGAAAAAGGGAGGAAGAATGTGAGCGTGTGTGTATGCGTGTGTGTGTGTGCGTGTTCGGATCTGCTCATGCACAGTCTTTGGAAGGACACACATCACTGGCAGCCCAGGAAGAGAACTCGGAGGCTGAGGGGCGCAGGCAGGAGGAAGATGCCTCACTGAGGGCCCTTTTGTATTCTATGTCCAATGTGCCTGTGTTACTCATTTTTTAAAATTCAATGTAAAAAGTTAATGGTGTGTGTGCTTAAGGGTTCTTCCAGGCAGAAGAGTTTGAGACGAGAGAATAACAGTGTGCTCAGGGGATCACAAACATCATGTTAGCAGGATTCATGAGAGGAGGTCAGGAAATACAGGGGAGGCAGATGCTGCCCACGGAGTCTGGGTTTCCTCCTCAGGTAGTAAGAGCCCTGAAGCATTTTAATCAGGGAGCATCACTGTGCGGAAGGAGACGTTGCAAAAGGGGAGACGCTGCAGGCAGGGACTGGTGGGGAGGTATCGCGACACCACAGCGAGGAGGCCACAGTGAGTGATGAGATGAATTCCCAAAACTCTTGGGCCAGATGGATGGGAAGTGGTAGCTGAAACTGGAGGTAAGGAGGGAGGCTTATGGGCGAATGTCCGGAGCCATGATGTGCCCTTCACCCGGGGAGGGGGCGTGGGCAGGAGGGCCCATCCGGATGCACTGTGCAGAAGTGAACACTCAGCCATCAGACACAGGTCTGGAGCCCAGGAGACAGAGCCAGGTGGGAGACTCTGCTCGGGAGCCACCCAAAGGGGACAGGAGTTGAGGCCATGGATATGGAGGGGATGGCTCAGAGAAGGCAGGCAGTGAGTACAAATGGGAGAACAAAGCCCAAGGATGACAGGGAAGGAAAAAGAAACAGGAATAGCAGAGGGAGGGGCACAAGGGGTATCCCAGTATGTCCAAGGCGGGAGAGTTTTGAGAAAATTGGGAGATCAACAGTACCCATCACACTCAGAGACAGCAGGCAAGAAAAATGGAGAAAGTGCCCATTGGGTTGGCCACAAGGTCACTTTGTAGATGTTTCACAAGTGCATGAGTGAGTGGCCCTGGGGGAGCAGGGACTGAAAGACAGGTGGCTGGAGAGGGTGAGGCAGGGCTCATGCCACTCTAGGGGGTGAGTCCTGATACCTTGTCCAAGGGTGACACTTTTCAAAAGCAGATGACACATTGGAGAAGAAGCCATCCGGGCAGGATTCACAGATGGTATCAGAAACCCCTGTACCTGGGAGTGGGTAGGGAAGGCACATTAACCATCAGATGGCCCACTGGCCCAGCTCCCAAGGGAGCCAGGGGACAGACACACCTGCCCCGGTAAGGGGCTGCCCCTGAACGCTGCAGGCCTGCAGAACTTCTCCCACGGCCCTCCCAGGGCAGAAGGAAGAATGTAAGGGCCCTGTTTCCTGCTCACTCTGGCAGGCAAGCCATTCTAGGTCGGAGTCTCTACTCCCTCCACCTCCGGGGCTAAATGCCCCCTGCCCAGCCCCTCACCGTTGACCCTCAGCTCTTCTCCCCTCCCTGCAGAGCTGATTTCCACACAGGCCACTTACCTAACTGCTTGGCCCCAAATCCAGGGCCACAAGAGGAATGCAGATCACAGTGCTCACAGGCATCGCTGGTGCAGTGTCGGCCTTCCTCACAGATGCAAGTGGTGTCTGTTTCTAAGGTGCCCTCCTTCTGGACCTGGAGCCCTAGATCTGAGCGGAGATGAGCAGGAAGGATGGGAACCCCCGGCTGGGCCATGCTGGGCACCCCACTCCTCACATTGCCTGCTGTTTTTCTTAGACCCTCTTCCAATATAGGATAGCAATCAACTTATTTAACAAGTACAACCCAAATTCCAACCAATCAGAACAGACCCTGGCTACCAAAATCAAATCACCTGCACTGTCAAGTCTATCAGCTAGCTACCGAGCAGCCCTTTCCCAGCAGCCCACGCACTGGGGTCGCAGTATCTTTGCGTGTAACAGTGTCTCTCTCTGTTCCAGGTGTCTAAGAATTCGCCTTTTGTGCAGCGAAGGCATTGTGTTTCCTTGAACTCTGTGCATTCATCCACCAGCTTCTCTCCTGGAAAACAGGAAATGAGGCAGCTCTGGCCAACTCAATGAGTCAGACCCTAATCGGGGCTTTAAGGGGGAGGTCAAAAATGAAAGTCTCAGACCCTTCAGTCAGGTAGGGGAGATAGAGGAGATAGGAACCCCACTGAGAGTAGACAGAGGTCTACCTGGCAGAGAGGGAACACAGAACATTCTGACAGCAAGGCAGAGAGGAGAGATGAACCGTGTCAGACTGATTTTACAATTAATACATGGGGTCTAGACCTTACAGCAAACCAAGAGGGGTCTCAGGGGTGGCATCTCACCTGGTGGGCACTTATCACAGCACACATTGTTTAGTAGGAATTGATTTTCCCTGCATCCAAGAGATGTTTCTGGGTGGACCTATAAACAGAATTGTGTAATTGGAAGGGATGTTGGAGTCTCTGCTGTTGCTTCCTTGGAAGGAAGGTTGAAAGGCAGCCAGGATACAGGCTGCAACCGATGTGGAAGTCCAAAGCAGAAAAGTGGAGCCCACAGAGTAGTGGGTGTGTTTGTTTAAAAAAAAACTGTCAACTAACCTGATTATAACAGCACCCAGAGAATCATTCTGGTATTTTACAAAGCAACAGTACTGGAAACCCATATATTCTCTGAACTGAACAAATCCGCTTGGTTCCTGTGCCTTTACTCTGTCCAGTGACCCTCAAGGCATGAGGATCCCACTGTGTCCCTGGAGTCCTGAGGCTGGCTGGCTTTGGCCGGCCCTGTGCTGGCTGAGGCTATAATGAGCATGTGGCCGCTTCCTCCGATTCTGGTTCCTCTTCCTTCCCTGCTCCCAGTCCCATCGGGTTTCTCCCTTCAACTCTGCCTTATCTGTTCACCAAAGTCCTTCCTCATAAAATACTAGGATTGTGGATCTGGAAAGATAAAATCCAAATCTTTGATTTTACGTAGATTGGCACTGACCACCACAGAGGCTGAGTCACTTGCCCAGGTCCCCACAGGACATAAACTGAACAAGAACTCAGATCTCAATACACCCTCTCTCCATCGATTTGTGTTTTGCCTGCACCTTCTCTATGTTGCCCAGATACCACCCATGCTATTACTTGCTTTGTGCTATTTAAATTATTTTCTTTCAAATGCAAACCTTGTATCATTGCTGTGAGAGAGCCGGTATCACTTCTCATAAGTAAAAGGAAACCCTAAAAATAAATTCAACGAAACAAAAAAAAATGCTATTAAACCTCAGCTGATTGCTAAGCAAAGGCTCTCCACCCAAGTCCCACTCTTGATTTTAGTTTAAAAGGAAGGTTAGCAAGCCTTTGAGAGGCATTAACTATATTCCAGCTCCAGAGACTTCCTCCTTGAAAAACTGAGAAGGATTTAAAAAAAAAAAAAGAACTAGAAAATGAATCTGTGTTCAGCTCTATATCCGTGTGATCCCTAAAATTATCCCACACCTTGAGAACAAGTCAGCAAAAAGAGCACAGCTTTGAGCATGAGACAGGTTTGGCTCCACACTTGTAATACATTCAAGTTACTCTCCTCTTCCAGCCTTAGCTTCCCTGGCTTTACAATGGGAGTAGTAATACCTGCCCTGCAGGTTGGGTTGTGAAGATGAGAAGAAACATATGCATTTAGCCTGGCATAGTATCTAGACCAGTGATGGTGAAACTTTTAGAGCTTTCAATGATGCAAGCAGCCCACTGTGGCACACGTGCCATAGGTTCGCAACCATTAGATACTCATTAAATGACATTATTTAATTAATACTCATTAAATAGCAGTTTCAATCATCACACATAGATGAGTACCTGGTTAGATGTCCAGCACACTGGCTAACTGGGCTGGCTGCCCTGGATCCAGCTAATTGTCAGCTCTCACTCAACCTGGTATCTAAGCAGATTACTTACAGAAACACATCTTACCCCAAATGGGGAAAGAAATAAAAAAGGCTACTGCCCCCCCACGGCACATTCCGAGGCACCACCCTGTTAACCTTCCCTTGGTCCCATCTTCAAAACTACGAGAAAAAATAGCTCCTGTTCTGAAAACTCATCAGCCCCCACTCTCCAGTCCCCGTAGCTCCTGTACTTCTGCTAAAAAAGGTCTCAGGACCAGAGCTTGGAGACGGTCACCATATGAGAGATCATTGGCTTATATAGCAACAGATAGAGATTCACATCCGGGTTCTACTGTTATCTCGTTATGAGACCCTGGGCAAGACAATTCCTCTTCTGGAGTCTCTGCTCATCTGTATAACGCAGGAGTGGGGAGGAGTCAGGCGCTCAAAGCATGATGAATACCCAGGAAGATCTCAGTAGTGTCCCAGACCAGACTCTACCTGGAGCCAAACTGGGGACTGTGAGAGCGTAAGGACTACTCTCGAGAAGCCCAGGTGACCTTTCCTTTATCTTCTCCAGCTCTTCCTCCTCCACTCCTCCAGTAAGGCCTTTCTCCTGCCTGCCTTCTCCCTAGCAGCCATTCCCCCAGAGTGAAAATGAAAGTGTGGAACCAAAGCAATTTCTCCCTCCGCACACACACACCGCCCACCATGGTTCATTCCTGTCCCAGCTTCTTGCTGGAATCTACAGTCCCTGAAGGAACGGGGAAGCCAGAGGGGCTGGGATGAGAGAGCCAGGTACTTGGGGAGTTCCCAACCTCCAGAATGAGGAACTACAGAAATACATTTAAATCAAAAGTGAGTCAAGTCTGGGCTTCTGAAAAACCCGGAGATTTGCTTGGTTGGATCTCAGCCCTTCTGGTACCTGCAGAAACCCCTGCTGGGAAACCTTTCTTGGGTCCCATGAACTGCTCATCTGGCACAGGGGCCCACTATGTCATCTTATATTCAAGAGAGGGAGACATAACCTTGGGGCCCTCTCCTAAATTGGTTCACCCAGGACTGGGCTGGGATCTGGGGTGCAAGGTGAGCCTTCCCAAAAAAGTATGTGGGCCTCTGCCTTCATCCCTTGTTCCCACAAATGCTCTGGAAGAAGGCAGCCCCAGCTGGCAAGGAAGGCTGGCCTCCTTTCACAAGGGGAAAGGACGGGGAAAGGCCCAAGAAACAGGCCAGACCCACCCGTCCGCCGGCAGACTTCCTCCCTTCCCTCTGAAACCCCTTCCAGCCCCTGTGACCAGCCTCTGAAGCAGACCAGACCCCAGACAGAGCCCCAACCCATCCACACCGTCCAGCCCTTCTGTGCGGGTAGTGCCACCCCCTAAGCGGACTTTCGGGGCTACAATCTGGCAGGTAAGACAGCCTCCTTATTTTTAACCAGGATCCGGGGTGCCTTTCCTAGCTTCCACACACCCTCCTGTCCCCCTAAAATCAACTAAGAAAGTCTCTCGTTAAATCTTCCTTCTCCTCCCTTCCCATTTCCCTACTCTCGAATCCCAAACCCCAGTCGAGTCCAGACAGAAACTACTCACCGCCGTCAGCAAGTAGCCCCAGAGGACGCACTGTAGAGGCCGGCGAACCATGGTGAGCTGAAACCTGGGTGGCCGGAGCAAGGGGCGCGCGGGCGGGGCGTCTAGTAACTTCTCGGCCCTGGCCTGTGGTCCCGCCCAGGGAAGGGGCGTGGCTCCGCCTTTGGAGACCAATTGCCTCCGCCTGCGGGTTGGGGGCGGCACCCCTGGCCGGTCACAGCCCCGGGATTTCCCCAGGACCTTCCCAGGATTGTACTCCTCACCCCTCCCCGGGAGTTTAGGGACGCGAAAGGGCCCTAACTCCTCTCCCCCGGGACCCATAAAGGCTACGTAGAGACCAACTAGGAGCCAGTCTGCTTCCAAGGGGGTGGAGGAAGGACTGAAGGATTCCCCTAGGTGCTGGGGCCTTCCACAGGGACCCCCAGGGCTCCCCCTCCAGCCCCCGAGTCGCCTCCGGGAATTCCAGCAGAACTGAAAGCATCTCCACCGAGGATAGAGACCCCCGAGGAAGTCACCGCCACCATCACTACCCCGAGAAAACGGGAAGGCCTACACTGGAGCGTGAGGGGGCGTTTCAAGGAAACGGCGGTCTCAATACAGTTTCGCTCTCTTTCAAAGGAAATTCCCTCCTTTGAGCGCAGCGCCTCGGCTTCTCCATCCGCTCATCCTTGAATCCCAATCGGGTTCTAGTCCATCCCAGCTCCCATCCAGCTCTTGCTTGGAGACAGGCATTTATTACGTATGCCAGCCTTTCGGGGATCACAGGACCCCATAAAAATGTTAGCTCGAGGCCCTTCCTTGAGCCCGCTTCTCCTTGCCCCCTTCTCCAAGCCACTCCCGAACCAGTGTTGGCTTTGTGCGCTGCAGCGTGGATCACCTGGGTTCCAGGTCCGGGTTCTGCCGCAGGTGCACTGAGTTCCCTTGAACCTCCTTTTTCTTCCCGGAAACCTAAGGCGCTAGAGTGCTTGAGGTGATGACTCTCGAAGCTCTAAACTTGTAAGCCAGGCCATGAGGCTGGGCTGCAAAGATCAAGGAGGAGGAGAAGGAGGAGGCCGCTGACCACATCTTTATGCGACAGAGGACACACTTGCAGGTCTCACAGACTCTACCTCTGGAATCCATCCCTATCTTCCATCACCTCCGCCACTGTCCTAATTCAGAGTTTCATCATTGTCTCTCATCTAGATCATGCCAATGGCTTCACTCGTTCTCTACCCCACCCACAACACCCCTGTGGCGATTCCGATGGGGCTTTCCTATGTACACACATCTTTGGGCTCCCTAGTCCCTCGGGATGACCCAAACTCCTTATGCCGGGGTGAAGCCGTTTCCCACCCAGCCCTGGCCTCTCCAGCCACGATCACTTCCTGACATGTCCTCCCAAGCGTGCTGGCTCCAACCGTGTTCTCACTCTCCCCAGTCCTGAGGCTCACGATTGGTTTTCCTTACTGTCTTTCTCACTCTGGCTTTCTAATTCCTTCCTTTCCTCGTCCTTGCCAAAATGAGTTTTGCCTTCCCCAACTCCCTGAGACAGAGGTAGTGCTCCCCGGATGCCCGGTCCCATTTGGGGACCTCTTGAGGGTAGGGCTGGATCTATCCCAGTTCTGGGCACATAACAGGACACAAATACACCATTTTTCAATGAATATATGAGCTATTGAGTTGAGTAGCTTGCGGTCTGCAGCATAGCCTCGATCACAAAAGAAGTTGGAGGAAGGTGGACACAGAGCTGGCCACCTCAATGCAGACATTAAGCTTCAATGGCCCATGGATAAAAGGGATGGTGGTCAGATACAAAAAGGCCAGAAACAGGAGTCAGGATCCAGGAGTCTTCATTAAAGCCACCCAATCATGCCTAGGATGAAGAGAAGATTAAAATAGCTTTTCTCTTTTTCACCCCCTTTGAAAATACCAGTATAGTTTTAATTCCTTTGGGAAGGGGGCGTTACTATAATATTTTCAGTCATTACTTATTCCTTATTTGCTTGATTCCAAAATTGGGCCTTTCACAAAACTGCCTCGGGAAGCAAGCACACAGAATTAAAACATTAATTATATTATATAAAACATATCATAGCAGCAATTAAAGCAGCTTAAATTAATGTGTGAAAGAACAAATAGTAGCCTTTGGTTGCCCCATGGGGTGCAGACCAGACAAGATAAAGGGAAGATATTTCAGTACATGCACATCCCAAAGAGACATGCACCAGCGGCAAGGCCCAGAGAAGCACAGAACCTTGTTGGGCTGAGAAGAGTGTGCTGAAAGAAGAGAGCAAGGAGATGATTTATGGGGAGGCAGCAATAGTCAGAGGCCCATCAAAGAGGAAAACAATAAAGGTTTCTGCAACAGAAATAGGGCAAAGGACATCAGAAGAGCAGGGACCCAGGACTTTGGAATCTAAGGCAATGGCTTTGGGGAAGGGTTCATGGGCCTGGAGAATGAATGAAAAGCATATTTGGAGGTCAAGTGTCTACAGTGCTACCACAGTCTGGTGACCACAGGGACCTAGCTAAATGCGAACCTGATTATGTCCTCCCAGATCTGAAGTGACCCCCAAGGGCCCTCACTTTTAAGCTCAGAGGGCTGCAAGGCCTTAGACTTGCTGGCCTGCGTCTCTAACTAACCTTCCAGGCTTCCGCCTAATGCTCCCACCCTACCCCATTCCCAGATCGCCTGTGCTCTCACTTCTGCCTGGAAAGCTACTCTCCCACTCTCCCTTAATCTCTTCCTTCAAGACTGGGCTTGAGTGCCCCTCCCCAGCAAGTCCTCCCAGCGGCCAACCCAAGATGTGTACATCTACCTCCCCAGGCTCTCTGGAACCCAGCGACTGCTTACTGAGTAAGACTACGGTCCAACCATATCATATTTCAGTTATTGTTTATTTATGGAACCAGTGTATGGAACTCCATGGGACATAATAATGAAGCTTTGTCCCCTAACCTCTGTCTTTGGCCATGCTGTGTTGAATTTCCCTTTTCCATCCCTTAATGACATTGTGAGTAGATGTGTTACTTTTGGATTGAATTCTGCTGTTAAGTGTTCATCCCATGAAGCTTTATTCTCACCCAAAGGCTGACTTGAGCAAAGCAAGGGAGAGGAGATGGCCTGGTTGACAGATGTACCCTAGCACCCTCCCCATTGTCGAAATGGAGGAAGGAGTCAAATGTAAATACGTCTATTCTTGCAATAGCCCTGTCTCTGTTGGTCAAGCCTCCTTTCCTGGAGTGGCAAGTGTCCATTTGTGGTTTCTCATGGGGTGCATGGGTAAGTTTTATAGGGGCTACACCACTTCACAGTTTCCTGATAGGGGGCATCCATCAGGCATTAGCTCTCTTACCCGGCTGTCCCCAGCCTGGGTCCTGCCCAGCAGTCAGCCTGCTTGTGTGAGACATCACAGAGGTGCTCTAGCCTGGCTAAGCCCTTCAGTGTGCATTGGACCACAGCGCCCCTTCTCTCCATCCCTACTCTCCCCTGCTCAGATAGGCACAGCCCACTGCCAATTCCCCATCAGGGAACGCCATCCCTGTTTTGTACTCACTCTCAAACTCCTTGAAGGGCTCCCTTTGACATCCCCCCAACACACACACACACACACACACACACACACACACACACACACACGCATGCATGCACACACTTATGCTCACACTTTTAATTAGGAAGGAAGAAAATCGCCTCCCACTATACACACTACCCTTCTCAATAAAACCAAAGACCTCCCCAGGATTGCTATATGAACAAGGAAGAGAAAATCTGGGCTTCGGCTAGTGGATATAGGACCAGTTCTGACTCCTTCAGTAAATCCTGAAGGGAAATTATCCGTCTCCCTAAAATACAGGGTACCTAGGGCTTGTTGTCATTGGCCATAGGCCATGTTGCCAATTTCTAAGTAACAGAGCTGAAGAGACTTTGGTTTGGGCCATTCCTTACATCTAACTTAATTCTCAGAGAGGAGGAACCATGTCACAGTTATCTTTGTAAACTGATGCCTACCAAGAGCCCAGACATGCCAGATACTGACTGGGTGTTTGCTGAATGCGTTCGGGAGTATAAAGTAGTGAGAACGGAGGGGATCCTTCAGCAGGATCCACCCGCTCCTTCCCCTCCTGACCTGGGTGCCTGCCCATCAGCAGCAGCTGGGATTCCCAGGCTTAAATGTGAACAAAAATCTTTCCCTTTTGCTCAGCTGATCTTAGTTGAGATTTATCAAAAGGAACTAAGAAACTTGGAAAATCCAAGAGCTAACAAAACATATGGTGAGGGGAGAGGTCACAATATATTCAAAGTACAGAATTTCTTTATTATGACCTGGTTAAAGCTACTTTTTTGCCTTGGTTAATTCTCATTTCCAGATAAGGAGAACTTGGATATGGCCTTCAGCCTTCTCAGACTCTGGTGTCTGGAATAAGAGACAGCTTTAGTTGCAGTAAAGGATCCAAAATCTGTGCCATGACCTTAAGGTCCTATGGGACCTGGCATCTGCTGATCTCTCCCTTCAGTGTTCACTTGCTTGCTACCTCAGCCATCCGAGCTCTTACCTCAGAACATCGTCTGTGCCCCTCCTTCCACCCTTCCTTCACTGACTCCTCCCCAATCAGGTCTAGGGCAAACGGCACCTTCTTAGGGAGGGGCCTTCCCTGACCACCTGGTCTAGAAGGAGCCACTACTGGCTCATGTCTACCGCTGCCCTTTCTCAAGAGAAGACAGAGCTTGTGAACTTAAATAAAAGAGCATCCTTAGAAAGGCATCGAGGAGCTAGTGGGATGAACAGAGAAGTCTTCAGGCCAGGACCACGGGAACCAGATCACAGCCAAGACTCCCAGAGAAAAGTTCTGACAACATCTCTGTGTGTTAGCCAGCCTCCAAGACGGCCCCCGAGGAGCACTGACTCCGGCTCTTCACACCTGTGCCTGGCCCTCTCTCCTCTTACCAGGCTCAGTCCATATGGCCAGAAATCGGCAAGAGTGATCATAGACTATGTCTGAGTTCAGGTTATAAAAGCCCTGAAGCTTCCATACTTTCCACCCCCGCATGGTGAAGTCAGCTTCCTGCCATGGCCTGGAGACATTCAAGCAGCTTATGCAGAATCCTGTGTCGAAGAACCAAAGATTCCAGCCACTGGCCACACAGGAGACTGTAGAAAT